GAACTCCTGAACGTGCATACCTGTAGGTTTTGTTGTTCTGGACGGTCACATCCCTGGAGAGACATCCTCCGATCTCCTACCGGATGCTGGGTAAGGGTGTCAGGTTGGGGCGGTGGTGGGGGTCCCGTGGTTCAACAGACTCTGCACTGGCCCCCTTTTCCAGTGTGCCTCTCGCTTGCCTCTCTGCCGCGCCCGGTGTCTCCACTCATTCTGCTGAATCCCAGCAGGTTGTAGGTCTCCCGTCCTCTGTCAGGGCTGTTGAGGAGGGAGGTGCTACTGCGTGGGGTGGTGGGTGATCTCCGGTAGTTGAACGACTTCTTAAACAGGCTTCCGAAGGCCCCTTTGCTCTCTAGTCCTGCCCTTCCTTCCTTCAGAGGCGGTATCAGGTGGTCCTTCCATTTCTGAGCCTTCTAGAAGGTTTACCTTTCAGTGTCATTTACTCTGTACAGTTAGTCAAGGCTCAACTACCCATTTTCTATCTTCCACTATTTTTTCACCCTTCTCATCCCTTTTCTTGTTCTCCTAATTTGTCCTTGGGTGTTTGTACCCTTTAAAATTCACTTCCTATCATTGAAAGTGGTTTCAGAAGAGAGCAGAGAAGAACAGGTGTGTTCAATGCTCCATGCTTAACCCAAACTCTAGTTTATTCATAGGTGTTTCGGTTTGGCATTAACATTTACCTCTAGGCTGCAACAGTTACTATTCCAGTTACATGTTTACTGGTCACTGCTTTTATTCTTATCAAATTTGTAAGTCTCAATAAAAACAAAAACTGCTGTTGGAAAAGACAGTGGCTTGTATCCTTAAAATATACTCCTCTCCCCCTCCTCCATCATCATCATCATCATCATCATCAATACTTAAAACATTTAACTTTTACCATTTGATCTCCACAACAGGTTCCTGAGCAGGTACTAGCCCAACACCCACTGTACAGGGTTGAACCCCCAAGCCTCAGAGAGACTGAGACAGGTGTGTGAGATGACAAACAGCAAAGAGCAGAAAAGCATTTAAATTCCGGTGGTTGGTCTCTAGACAGGTTCTGCAGGCGTGAGGAAGAAGCGCCGATGAAGAAGTCTCACAAATCACGCAACCAAAAGTCATTGGCTATTTTGTATCCACACTTACCGTTGACCTCATTGGTTCAGCTGTGCAAATGATATTGTATCAAATGACATCATCCAGAAAGGAGGCTCACTACAGACTCAACTCCAGTCTCCTGAGTCAGGGAGCAAATTCAAGCTACAAAACCAACGGATGGCGGAGACCTTGCCGGCCCGATTCTCCCCTTAATAGAGGTCAAGGGAGTACACCAGTGCCTGGGGTGGAGCCTGGCACATAGTAGGTGCGCAGTAAACATGAGGTTCCTTTCACTTGGGATAAACAGCGATAACCAGGGGTGCACCCAGAGAGCCTGGGAGCAGGATGACTGAGGCCTGAAAACTGGCCTGGGCTCCGCTTTCCAAGCTGTGCGCTCCGGGACGCGCTGCATTTGCCTGGAGAGCAGGTGCCATTTTCAAATTCAAGGCGCGTGCAGCACGGGCTAGCAGTGGCCCGGCCTGGGTGGAAATTCTGGACATATGTGCCCCTGACATTGATGGCAGGGTAAGCGCACTTTCAACGAATAGACTTTGAACACATGGAGAAGTAAAGACTTCCACGATCCCGCTGCTGGCGATGCTCCACCCACCGACGGCCCTGAGCCGCACTGCAGGCTGTGTGCTCCCTCCGCCTCACAGCCCCCAGGACGGGGTGATGCGAAGGTCACAGACGCCCACAGCTGGATTATCCAAGGTGATTTTATTATTCTCGAGTACCTACTCTGACTTCGTCTTTTCATAGAAGGCTTTTCAGGCTTGGTTTAATAAATAATGATAATGATTGTTTTGAGATTGTTGGCTCTTTATGCCAGGAACTAGTTATTTTGAGCCTTGTCAATATCTTCCATACGTCTCTGTTTCTATCAGTTTGCATTATGTCATAGTATTTCTTGAAACTGGGTTGCTGTTGATGTTTGGGGCAGGGCAGTTCTTCAGCGGGGGTGGGGGGGACAGTCTACAGCATTGAGGGGTGTTAGTACTCTTGGTCCTTCACGAAAAAATGCCAGGAGCACCCCAAGCCCATGAGGCGCCACAGGTGCTCCCCAGACTTCCAAATGCCTCCATGGGCGATGGGTATCAGAGTTCATCAGAACTCACAGACAGGTGAGATTGGAAAAGAGCCAGGACCTAACATCACAAGACACCCCTGGGGATAGCAGACACTGGGTCACCTGCCTTCCGCCGCACAGCCCCCTGTTACTCTGGGAAGCACTTCCAGGACCTTAGAGGGAGCCAGCGAGAGGATGAAGGAGGCTCTTTTTAGAATTTGGTTCTGCTGCCTTGATGTCCTGTTTATTTTCACAGGGGACTTGGCTCCGTCTGACGTCTGACGGTTGTTGCCCTTACCCAGCACAGTGCGAGGAGGGGGCGTTATTCTGATTGATCCTCACAGCAGGTTTGCTAAGCCTAAACAATTTCACATTATCACTTTCTTTATGAAGAAACCTAGGCTTTGAAAAGAGGTGTGCTTGCTCAGGGCCAACTTTCAGATTCCAGGGTCCATGTTCTGGCAATAGAACTGTCTGCTGCTATATACCTATTTGTAAAAGGCTTGGGGGTGGGAATGGGCCTGCAGGGGTTCAAAAACAGCTTCTTTTGAAAGCATACACAGCTCTTGTTCCCCGGGACACACCAGGTGGTATCATCAGTGTTCAACCTGTTACCAGCCGCGGGACCTCATTTCAGATCAGTGGGGGTGGGGGTAGGAGGCTTTGCAGGCAGGCCCCCCCCCCACACACACACACTAGGAAGAGAGTCAATTGGCTGCTGATTCGTTTGTAAACCAGGATATTGTATGGGCACCAACACCAGCCAGAGACCCGGTTGCTCTCTGGAGAACTGGGCTGCTGGGGAGAAAAAAACCAACAAAACCAAACCCCAACATAAACAAACAACAACAAAAACCATGACCAGATATCCTGGGGGAGGCAGGAAGAGAGGAAGCTGGCTGGGTTTCTAGGGAATCTGATAAGGTGGCTCGGGGCTCTGCCTCGTGGGGGGGGGGGAGCAGACGTGGCAGTCCACAAACACCATTCATTCATACGTGCATCCGTTTCATATTTATGGAGCATCTGCCACCTGCCAGAATCTATTCTCGGCGAGGAAACAGCAACAGCACGACGAATACCCCTGCCCTCACCGAGCTTACATTCTAACGACCGCAAGCACATTAATAAAGGAAACAATGTCTCAGGTGGAGGGAAGTGCTTTGGGCCAACGGCAGCGGGGACAGGCGCAGAGAACTTCTGGGGCGTTTGGATTTTAAACAGGGATCTGAGAAAGCCCCAGGGAATGACACTTGATCCAGTATCGCCTTGCTGGGCGCGGTTTCAAGCGTCTTTACAATTTTCTCAATGCAACAACCGCTCAAAAACAGCTACGATTATGCCCATTTTACAGACAGAGAGGCTGAAGTTAAGAGATGCAGTGATTTGTGAACATCGTACAGTTGGCGTGTGGGCGAAGTGAGGTCTGAACCCCGGCTGTAGTGCGTCCAGCGGCTTGGAGGCTGCTGCGGATGGAGCCTACAAAGGGGGCTGGGGAAAAGGAAAGTCGGCGGGGGCGCACGTCAGGCCCTTGTGGGTACCCACGAAGCGAATGTGGTGTCACCCATGGGCAAGAGTGGGTGGACTCTAGTGGGGTGGAAGGGGGCTGCGGAAGCTGTTGATCTTCCCTGAGCTGAATTCCGAGTCTCCCGGCCTGGGGCTGGGGCGACCCGTCATCCAACTGCAGAGCAGGTGCGTCCGTGGGGGAGGGAGCTCGAGGCTGGGATTGTCCCCGGACAGTTCCGGTCGGAACCTCGCCCTGCCGCCACCCCCTGGCCAGCTGCTCCAGTCAATAAGGCGAGGACCTCGCGGGCTCTCGTCACCCTCCCGGTGGGGTTCGCCTGGGAGTTCCTACCAGGGCTGAGGAGGGCCACGGAGGCGAGCTCGGGAAGGGCGGACTGGAAGCACCGCTGTCTGTCCTCCGGGGAGACACGCAGTTCGGGAGGCCAGCGCGCGAAGGGCGCGTGGAGCTGCAGGGAGCGCGGAGTCTCTGACACAGTCCCAGGAGGGCCCGGGTTGCAGGACAGAGCGGCGGAGGGGTGCCTGGCAGCTCTTGGGGGTCGCCAATACGAGGGGAGGGACAGGGCCCGTGCGCAGCAAATAAGTGAGAACCAAGACGTGCTGGGGTAGAAAGAGCAAAAGACTGGCGAGCGCTCACTCCAGGAAGGCCTGGGGAGAGCGGGCGCGCTGAAAAGACAGACGGGCTGGAGAGAGCGCAGGAGAAGGAAGAAGCGAGAAGGAACTGTTGCCCCAGAGAAGACGTGCCAAAGCGTGGGCCCTGGGGTCTAGGGGAGGGCGTGGGGAGTCGCTGGGCGCCCCGCGTGCAGCAAAGAGAAGACTAGATGCTGAAAAGGCCGGCCGGTCCAGCACGCTGGAGAGCGGGAGCGCCCGGCGCGCGGGCGAGCACAGAGCGCCTGCGCGCGCAGGGGCCGCGGCGTGCAGTTGCCGGCCCAGGTGGCGCGCTTTGAGGTTCTGGAGGAGCGGGTTGAGAAGAACCCGACGGGAGCCCAGAAATGTCGGGGGAGGCAGGGAGAGAGGCCGCAAACTCCACAGAGAAGTTCCCCGGATTGGAGAGGGAGAAGTTCCCCTGGGCGCTTGAAAAAAGCGGAAAGCCAGCCCTGGGGGAGGCTTGGCCGGGGCTGGCCAAGGAGCGCAGCTGAGAGGAGGCGCGGCTGATTGAGGGGCGAGTTCCGAGAGCCCGAGAAAGGTGAGGAGGAGATTCCGAGGACGAAAATCCCGGGGCGCGCGGGGCCCTGAGGAAGGGAACCGTGGAGAGCAAACTGGGTCCCCAGGAGGGCCACAGTGCCCCCCATAACCACCCCTCCCTGACCGCTCCCAGTGTTAACCCACTCACCATGATGGAGAAGACGAAAGCCACGATGTTAATGGGGTACGCGGGGCAAAAACACGAGACAATGGTGAGCCACAGGTAGTTCTTGGGCCGGGGCACGTCCTCCTCGGTCTTGTCATCTTCAGTGTTGGCCTCGGGACTGCTGTCCAAAGCCGTCTTGAAGTCCGAGCTGGGGGCGTACTGAGACATGGGCGAGGCGGGCGGCGCAGCGAGGGCAGCGGAGCGCACAGTCGGCGCGGTCTGGTCTGGACCTCTGGCCGCCGGCTGCTGGCGAGCCTCTGAAAAGCCAGTGGAGCGAGGCTCGGGAGACGTGACCTCACCCCTCCTGCGTCCTCCGCTGGCACCCGCCCGGGCTCAGGGACCTGGGCCAAGAGCCTGGGCACAAGAGGGAGGGAGGAAGCGAGAGCAAGGAAGTGAGGGGAGGCGGCGGGGAAGGGAGGGAGCCTGCCAGCCCGAGAAACAGAGGAAAGGCACGCTTTGACGACACCCATAGACCCTCAGACGGAGGCCCAGATTCACTCAGCAAAGTCCAGAATAGAAAAGAGTTTCAGGGGAGCAGCAAGCAAATCCCCTTTAAGTTGCAAACTGGCGGAAGAAGACCAGGTCATTTTTTTCAGGCAGCTAAATTTGAATACATTTAGACAGGACAACGAGAGGTGCTCCAACCCCCGCCAGCTGGCTACAGTGTTACTACTTCCACTAGACTTCAACAACCTATTGTCTGGTTCCCGAGGTATATAAGCCGCCTCCGCTGCCCCAGTCCCTTCTTCTACTCAGACCTGGAACATTGAGCCCTAGTAATTTCCTCCACAGGTGGGCAGGGAGCAAGGTGTCCGGCCTTGGGCCCAGCCCTTCCCACACTGCCCAGGGACCCCTGGAGACTGGAGTCAGCCAGTAGGCACAGCCCTCCACTTTTTCCCAAGTGTGGAGACCAGGAATCCTTCTCATCTCCACTTTCCCAGCTGTAGGGTCCCTGGACAGAGAAGCAGATCGATCTGGCAGGTGTAGACAACCCAGGTGAATAATTGCAATGGGGAGAAAGAGAAAGGGACCCATCTTGGGAACTAGGGTGAAGACAGCAATTTCATCAGCAGCTAAGCAATTCAGAAAGAGGGTAGGCACCAGAACTGAGACTTGGAACCCAGACAGAGCTGGGAAATTGTCACATCTCAGTTGAACGACCTCAGGCGATTCCTTTCACCTTGCTGAGCTCCAATTTCTTCATCTAAAAAAGTGGAATAATAAGAATCTCCGCCTCATTGGGACTATGAGATTGCGTCTCAGATCAGGTATCTGAGTGGCCAATCAATGGTACCTTCTCCTAGGAGACTTCCCCCCAAATATAGTCATTACACAGTCCCTCAGATGCACTACCCATTGTTGCAAACATTTCACCAGAAATGCAGCTGTGCTGAGGGGGCAGGACCACAAAGAAGTGCAAATAATTTATTATGCACAGTCCCAAAAACAGTTGCTCACAGCTTCGTACTCGAAGGTATGAATCATCTGCTTGGCTTGCTCAGAAGGTGAGCTGATTGTCTGGGATGCCTCCCTTGTCTCCTGGGCTGCATTCATTTCGTCATCTGCCTCCCTCACTGGGCTGCGACTCCCTGAGACAGGGGACAGTCTTGCTCATCTTTACCTCACCACCTGGCACATTGCCTGGTATGAAGCATGTGCTAAGTGTAGCTTGCTGGGTGATCACGCAAAAATGAAATAGTACCTTCTCCATTGTGCCTTCTCCCTCATTTTGGTTGATTAAGCAAGTGGGAATAAACTGAACAATGAGATTCTTCTACTGAGTTCTCCACTAAGCCTTTGCATTGGCTGTTCCCTCTGCCTGAAATGCTGTTCCCTTAGACCATCACATGGCTTCTTATTTCTCAGCTGTCAGCTCAAATGTCACTTCCTCAGAGAGAGACCTTCTCTTTAGATTTATCTAGTGTGGGTCCCCATAATTATTCTATATTTTTCCAGCTTTTTTTTTTTTTCTGGCATGTATCACTGTTGAACTTTGTTTACTTGTTTACTGAATGTTCTTTTTGAGAGCTCTGTAACCTCTTCGGAGATGTATCTCCAGCACTCAGGATTATCCTGGCACAAGGTAGGAATGAAAGAAATATTTCTCAAATGGATTGGAATTACCTGGGGGTGTTGAAAGAATGATTCTCAAGTCTTGACCTAGACCTGCCTGAATTAAAATTTCCCAGGGTGGCACCCCAGAAATCCATATTTTTAATGCCTGAGAAATCAGTATTTTCAGAATACCCCGCAATGTTTGTGATGCAACTGAACAATTTCTCAAATCCCATTATCGCCTCTAGTTCTTAGGACGTGGCCCTGGATCTTTAGTTTGGAGATCCCCTCTGTTGCCTCAAATTCGGTGTGTCAAAGGTGAAAGTGTCTCCCCCAAGGACCTGCTTCTTAGTCCTTGGCGAATGGGCGCCGCCCAGTTTTCTGGCCTTATCGTCTGTGAGTCCTCTGCTCGCGTTGTGTTTCAGTTCCTCAGGCCTTTCCCCCCTTCCTCAAATGCGCCCAGCTCTTCCCCACCCCAGGGCTTTACACCCACTATTTCTTCTTCCTGTAAGGCTTCCCTTCTCATCTTTCAGGACCCATGACCTCATGTATGGGACCCTGAGAGAGTCCTTCCCTGACCATCCTATCCAAAGTAGCCTCCTACCCTCTTATCCTCCACACCGTTTCCCTGTTTATTTCTTTCGTCACAGTTATTTCAACCAGAAACTGTCTCGTGTATTCATTTGTTTACTCCTCATTGTCTCCCCCACTAGAAGGTAAACTCAGAAGAGTGGAGATTGATTTTTTTTCTGTTTGGTCTCACTGTGGTGTCCTTTGTGCAGAAAGAGTTCCTGGCTCTTAGTAGGTGCTCCATAGATAGTCGTTGAATCAATAAACTGCATTTTGTCATCCAGGTATGGAGGTTGGAGGCATTATTCTTCTATTCCCTTGAGCTACCACTTGAATGACCCCCCAAACCCTGTTGAGTCCACCCCCAACATGACTCCTCACTGCATCCCCTCCCGGCCTCCCCCACGGCCAGGGCTCCAACTGCAGACCTTAGTCACAGTGGAAAGTTTTGGTGGGTGCCCTGGGAGCCAGATTCGTGATCTGTGGTGGGTGGGTTTAGTAGGCTAAGCCCCAGGTTTGGGTGCCACAATGAATGGTGCTCTTTTAAGATCATCAACTCTGCTGTCCACTCCCACCCACTCTGTCATCCTGGGGGGATACAATAGAATGGGTGCTTGGCTCAGCGGAACCCATCCCTTCTGCCAGGAGAACAGTGGGCCAACACTGGTCCAACGCCCTGGAACCACCAAACATTTATCGATCATCTAGTGTGTGCATTTCCTAGATGTATTATCTCCCTTAGTTCCCACAACACCATTGGTGAGGAAGGTGGAGACGTTTCCTTTCTATAGATGAAGAAGCCCAGAATCAGACAGGTAAAGGGTCTTCTGTGAGGCCTTTTCCACAAGGAAGTGGGGGTGCTAGGATTCAAACCAGGTGTATCTACTGGTTCAGGCGGCAGGTCCAGGCAGGAGTGTTCGAGGATCAACTCTGAAGTTTGCTCGAGTTCCTGTGTTCTGCTCAGGGAAGATGGATGAATAGCTTGTTGACGGGGCTAAAAAGTAGCAGTGAAATTGCAATCACTTGAAATATTTACAATTAAATGGAAAAGAAAGTGCCCACACCAGAAAGTGTGAGGTATACAGTCCTGATTCTTGAGGGATGCATTAGGCCACTGAGTAGGGGCTTTCAGCTCTAATTTCCTGAGCTTCACTAATTTCCTCCTGAGAGGTAAGTTTATTGCTCTCGGAAGAACCCTGCAGGCTGATTGCTTTGGTAATGTGGCAACACCTACCCTCTTTAAAACGCGAGGAGACACTGGTGTCCAGAGAGCCAGTCCAGGAGAAAGAAAAGAATTCCTGTAGTTTTATGGATCCTGATGAGGCCTCTAGCCTGTTTTGACCTTTGACCAAAGTTTTATTTCCAAATGTAAAAGTAACATATACTCACTCATGCATTTATGCTTCGAAGAAAAGCATAGAGAAGAAGAGATGTTACCCATATTCTTCCACCCAGGGCTAATCACTATAAAACTAAGGGGTTATTTTCTTCCAGTTCTTCCTATGTGTGTATACTTTTCTTCTACACCATGAGGTCACATGCAGTTTCATTTCCTGCTTTTCTCACTCAGAGTTATATATGATGGTTAATATTTTTTTTGCATATTTTTGTAGTCTGTATAATTTGCCATTGATTAGATGGATTATTATTTATGTAGCCATGCTCTGATTATTAGGTATTTACGTTGTTTTTAGTGGGTTTTTTTTTCCTGTTATGAAAAATGCTGTCATGGACATTGTTTTGCACCCAATTATCGGAATCTGTGATCATTTCTTAGGGACTCGTGATCTTACAGGGTTCATGTCCATTCTTTGAAATGGCAGAGAAAACTCAGATTGGCATTGGCGGGTTGAGAAATTGTATTACAAGCTGGGCACCAAAGGCAAAATTCAAAGCGAGGCCAAGGAGACAGTCCTACAGAGACGAGATGAAATGAAATGGGTTCAGAGAACAGCTTCCCAATGCCACGTGGATGCCCAAATCTATAATCTCCAATGGGGTCATGTTGAATCTATGAGCATGTGCTGGAAATCTGTGCTTTCCGATCTTAGCCGTGTCTAGGATTCCAAAACAGAAGGAGGGCAGGAGGCTGGGAGAGGAGGAGGAGGAGGTACTGAGATTCTGCTGATCCGTGAAAATGCAGGAGAATGATTCCAGATCTTTAGGAACTGTAAGAGGTCAAGTGCATTCGCTGCCAGGGTTTGCATTAGTCTCAAGTAGCAGCCTGTAGCAGCCATAAAGGAACTGCTGTGGTCTCAGGGGTTTGCTACAAAGAACAGTCTCTTGTTGGCTAATATTATTAGCAAATCATTTACCTTTCTAGTTCCCAACAACTTTGATCCTCTCACAGGGTGGGGGTGAGGGGCGGGGGGGGTGCAAAACAGGGGAGAGGGCAGGCAAGAGGAAGGAGATTCTGTACTGTAAATGAAAAAAACATGCCTTTTAACGAAACCACTTCAGCACTGAGAGACAGAACGCACAAACCCTGTCAGACTTAAAATGCAATCCATTTGCCCTCCCTTGTATCAGAGAAGAACAGCACCCATAAGTCACTTTTCTTGCTAATGGAATGACATATATAATAATAGA